GTGCGAGGCGTCGGGATGTCAAGGGCGTCTGGGTCTCCCTTAGGGACTAGTACTCTAGCATGGAACAGAGATGGGGAGCAGCCTTAGACAAAGCGAGCTCGAACTGCTTGTCCTCTAGGACGTCACTGCTAAGAGCAGCCACACCCCCGACAGTCGGAGGGCAGGCAGGGTCATAGACCACAGCGGTGGTGTAGTCCAGGCGGCGGGTAGCTGCGAAGTCAGTGGCAGCAGCGACAAGAGCCGACAGACTCGAGACAGGAACGGACGGTTCGATAACGAGAGAGGCAAGGACCCAAGGAACAAGGGGACGCGCAACACGAAGGAAGTCAGAGAACAGAGGTGGGGCCACAGCAAGCGATGACAGAGGAGGAGACGAGAGGAGAGGAGGAGCACGAGACGCATGAGAGCGAAGCAACATAGGGTGAGAACGCGAAACAGGGGAGGTAGGATGAGGACGAGACGAACGACGAAACCAGACGTGAGACGGAGGAGTCGGGTCTGGAGAGAGGGGAGGAGACACTGGAGGAGAACGGGGAGGAAAGCGAGCCGTAGAGGAGTCCGGGGGAGGAAACACGGGGCCGTGGACCAGTAGAGGAGGAGGTGGCAGCAGCGGGGGAGGCAGCGACGGGCGGTCCGGGGAAGGGAGACCGAGGAGGCGAAGAGCGGACACCGTCGGTGACAGCTGCGACTGCTGCCCGACTCCAACACCAGAACCTCCAGTGACAACAAGATGCCCTCCAAGAAGCCCCACGCCAGCACCCGTTGAGCCCGCTCCAGAGTCAACTCCAGCCTGCTCCCCAGCACCCCCGGAACGCACGAACCCCGGCGGCGGTGACGGCGGCTGCGTTTGCGGCTGCGGCGGCAGCAGGGGAGACAGGGGCGGCGAGACCGGGGCAGGTACAGGCGGGGGAAGAGACTCCACCGAGCCGCGAGAGTCAGCGGACTCCTCAGTAGGGACAACCGACGGGAGGGGGGTGACGTGAGACACACCAGACGGGGCAGGTCGGGGAAGGGGGTGGACAGGGTCGACCGGGGGAGGGGGGGGCACCAGGAACTAGGGGGGAGTAACCGAGGGACCACGGGCAACCACCGGACTGGAGGAAGGGTCTGCAAGAGCAACTGCAGCAGCAGCGGCAAGCGGCGTAAGCGTCGTGGAGTCGCGAAAGAAACACCGGGAGGCGCCGGAGTCGAGGGTGAAGGAGAGCGCGGCAGTGGCGACAAAGGTTGGAGGAGCGAGGGAGGACCCTAAGCTAAACAAGGCAGGGGATCCTATGCCTGACGCAGCAGGGGAGCCTGAACTAGGCACACTGGGCACAACTACGCTAGGCAACACAGGATAATAGGAACCAGTCACACTAGAGTCATCAACATACAGCGCATATAAAGTAGAGCTAATCTGATCCATGTCCATGTCAGAGATCTGAACACGATGACGGAGCAGATTGTGCCAGTCGGGGAGGTCAGGCAACGGGCCGAAGCGGAGGCGAAAGCAGCGAGTGGGGGTATGACCGATCTTACCCCACACGAGGCTGCGGCGAGGACCGATCTGGAGCTAGTACTGGCAGCGTCCGTCGCTCGGACCACCACCTGATGGCACGCCGCTCGAGCGGCCACTGCGACCACCGTCACCTCCAGCTCCAGGCCACGCAGGCCGAAGACGGCCGACCCTTCGCAGATGCTGCTGCTCCGGGGCACCAGCTCCAGCTCCCTCATCAGTACTACCAGCGGGCGAGCCACCTCCACCACGAGCACCACCCCCTCCTCCGCTACTGCCGCCACACCCAGCCTTGGGGCGGCGACCCTTACTCGGACAAAACTGCACTGCGGCGCTTGTCTCCACAACCGGAGCTGTCTCAGCCACCGTTGTAGAACCGTCGGTGTAAGAGCACTGAGCAGGGGCACAGCCCTGAAAGATAGAGACTGGCACGGTACCGCTAGACTGGACGATAGAGCGCTGACGGGTCTCTATGGCAGACATGGTGTCGACAAAGTCAGTGAGGGTGAGGTCAGTGGGGTGGAGACTAAGGGAGTGATCTCGAGCGGTGGCAAGGCGGTCAGGGAGGCGGGTGGCAAACAGGTGAGGGGTAGAGTATATGGGGGGGTGAAACAAATGAAGCTGAACCTCAGTGCAGGCAGCGCGCCAAGTCGTGTCTAGCGTGCGCAGGTGGGTGGCGAGGTTAGCGATAGTGGGGAAAGATGCAAGGTCAGGAAACAGCATGGGCAGGATAAGGCGGCCTATAGAGGCAGAGGGCGGGGTGGAATAGCACGCAACAACCGCCTCTAGGAAATCGTGCGCAGTCCTAGCTGACCTAAAGCGGGGGCGCTCGGACAGGGGAAGGTCATGACTAATCGCAAGCTGAACGACAGCGTCATGCGACAACCAGACAGCACGAGCAAGGGTAGCAGCTGTAGTGGACTCACGGTCAGCAGAGGTGGGGTCAGCGGGGAGGGCAGTAGGGGGGTCCGGGCAGGGGAGCGACCAGGGAGTGGCCTCCTGTCGCTGACCAGTCATGTGGCGCTGGAGGTCGACGAGCCACGAGTCGAACTCAATCGGCTGCCCCTCCGCATCGAAAAGCAGGAGCGAGTCCGCCATCATGGTTGCAGCAGCAGTAGCAAGACAGTACGGGGCAGTAGAGGGCGGCGGAAAGCGGTAATGTGTGATGCAGTGTGGTACTGTGCGATAGATGGATGTGCAGGACGGTAGTGTGCGGTGTGGTCCATGCGATGCAGTGCGGTGCTGAGCTGGGTAGGGCGGTGCAGCGCGGTGGGGTGCGGTGCAGCACGGTGCAGGAGCCGCAGGGGCCGGCTATGTGGCAGGGGACGCTGGGCGACAGGGCCGGGCGGGCGACGGGGCCGGCTTTGCGGAACGAGCCGGCACGAGCCGGCTACGGGACGGCAACGGGCGGGGCAGCGGGACGGGCCGGCGACGGGTACGGGCGCTGGATGGGCCGGCTAAGGGGTGCATGCGCGGGACGTGCCGGCTATGCGCGTGGGCCGTGTGCGGGACAGGCCGGCTAGGGGCGCGGGATGGGGCCGTTAGGGGACGGGCCGGCGACGGGCACGAGCGCTGGCCGGCTACGGGACGGGCGCAGGATGGGGCCGGCTACGGGACGGGCCGGCTACGGGCGTGGGTCGGGGCCGGCTACTGGACGCGGGCGTGGGCCGGTTACGGGACGGGCGCGGGCCGGCTACGGGTGCGGGCGCGGCCCGGCTACGGGATGGGCGCAGGACGGGCGCGGGACGGGGCCGACTACGGGACGGGCCGTCTACGGGCGCGGGTCTGGGCCGGCTACGGGACGGGCCGGCTATGGGCGCGGGACGGGGCTGGCTACGGGACGGGCCGGATACAGGCGCGGGTCTGGGCCGGCTACGGGACGTGGGCGCGGGCCTGTTACGGGACGGGCGCGGGCCAGCTACAAGATGGGCGCGGGCACAAGCTGGTTACGAGATGGGCGTGGGACGGGGCCAGCTACCGGACGGGCGCGGGACAGGGCCGGCTACAGGACGGCGGGGCTAGCTAGGTGACGGGGCTGGCTAGGAGACGGGCCAGCACGTGCGGGGCGGCTAGGACCTAGGGCGGAAGTGCTAGGGGGGGGGGGGGGGGGACTACCTACTCATGATACCATGTGAATGTGAGAAAAGTTAGACTAGAACAGATCATACAGGGGTATATAGCCTAATGGGTTGTACTCCCTAATGCACAACCCTATATTGTCTACAGTAACATAAAGTATATATTTGACAGATATCCCCTTTTGTTCCAATGGTTACGACTGGTGACTTTATGATTTAGTATCAGAGCCATCCGGGGTTCAATTCCTGGTGTACACACTATCCCAGCGGGGGGGTGTGTCGTGGCACTGGGATAACCCTGTCGATCCTCTCTCTATCTCTAGGGAGGGTACTAGGGAGGCTTTCATCGGGTAAAGTGGATATATGGAGCCTAACCCTCCTGATGATATCCCTTCGTATCCCAGTGGTTAGAACTGGTGAATTTATGACTGAAAATGTTACCTAATTGATACAAACATATAAATTTGTTGGAGACATGCAACGTGTGAAGTATTCAAAATAGCTGTACATGCTTTGCTTATGCTGTAGAGATTTTATGTACATTTGCCAGCAGCTACACTACGCTTATTTCCTTTCCTGAATCAGCCCCAGGCTGTCGGGCCGCAACGCTTGAACAGTGACGGCGGCGCAGTTTCTTGGCCCGTACCGCGTGACGCTTGTGGGGCGCCCAGCGCCCCTTGCTTCGGCCCCATACCAAACCTACGCCGCATTTTTGCCTTCGATGATGATTTCTCGGCGAGGTTTGCGACGTCGGTGTCGAAACTGAGTAACATTGGCGTCGTGGACCTCGGCTTTTCCAAACCGTGAGCGTGATCGTGAGCCAGTGATTAGCCTTAGCGGAAAGCTTTTCACTTTGATAGGTGCATTGTTTTCGTGAATGTCTTGCCAAGGGTACGCCGTCGGATGTACCGGTGCCATTCCCGTGCACAGTGCTCTGCGTCGTCGATGTTTTCTCCGTTACAATGTTATTGACTTGACAGCATCTAGAAGCTCACGATTGGTCGAAAAGGAACGTTTGCAAGCATCCCTGCGCCTTGGTTCTGGTTTGGCGCGCCTCGGCCTACTCCGTCCGCCCCTGGAATTTCCTTGGAAATCGTTGAGACGCGACGCGCGGCACCACCAGCTCCCGTCGCGCACCCCTCCAGATGTCCCTGGCCCCTTGTGAGGTGCGCGACGCGAGCTGGTAGTGCCGCGCGTTGCGCCAATGCGCTGCTGCTTTTCCGCTCGCACAAACCTTCTCTCCCTCCCGTACCCCGCATTTCCCCCCAATCTGCCTCCCACCTCCCCCTTACCCCTCTCCCCCTGCCTCTCCCTCTCGCTCATGAATTTGATCGCTCCCGCGCCCCGATTGCGAGGCCACCAGTCACCTGTTGCCGTCGTGTCTATCTTGCTTCGGTTTTGCCGACAACAAGCTCTCGCCACGGTTTTCATCAACGCAGTTGCTCTGTTGTGTTTTGTGAAGCCTGGTGTGACCCGCGCAATTATCCTTCTGTTCTCACGAGCCTAATCCTCGCTTCTTTTTGACGTCTATAAGCTCATCTCTTTTCGGTGTCAGTTAGCTTTACGAGCATGATCTATTGGTCACAAGCACGTGTAGTCATAGCCTCGTCAAGGTCGGTCTATTCCATACGTGATGACCCGTAGCCTGCATCCCGAGCTCCCATCGGAAGCTACGACGCTCCAATTATCCTTCACCCAGAGAGGAATTTCCGGACCTCAATTCTCGTTGCTGTGGTTACGGATCAGTGAAATCAGTTCTAAAATACCTCATACCCTGTCTTCACTCCCTGCATCCCGCCAAATCGCGCGATTAGAACCCGTGCCCCCGTTTGAGTCACTTTCCGAGTGGATAAGCTCGGAGGAGAAATGGCTGCAATGATCACCTCTTCCTCCTCCGGCCCCTCCGGCCCCTCTGGCTCCTCGGGGCCCTCTCGCAGAGCTTTCCGAATCGCCACCGGAGCTGCAACTGGAGCCCCCGCAGCTTCGCCAAAAGCTCCGAGGTCGTCGCCAACAACTGGCAGCCTATCGGGCGCCGGCGGTGCCGGCGGGGCTAGCGGTTTAAATACGCGGCCGTTAGTCTCCTCACCAGTGCCGTCGGTGCCGCTAGTGCCTTCGCCTCTGCCTCCTCAACTCGCGTCTCCGCGGGCTCCGCGGTCGAGTTTCCCCGCGGTACTCCCCGCAAAGTCGTCTCCGCAAACTCCGCGGTACTCTCCCGTTCCGTCGCCGCCGGTTTTCTCCCCTCTTCCCAACACGTGGCTAAACGACAAGCTATCCCGCCCCAAGGCGCACGGGAGCCTTTCCCTCTACAACCGCGGAATCTCCGGTTCGGCGAGGGACGGCGATCGCGAGTGTCGCGAAGTTTGCGAACGAAGTTCTCCGAAGGTTTCGCTGGTTCGCCAGGGAAGCGCGGGCGGGGAGGTACTCGTGCGGACGTATTCGTTCCAGGGCGTATCCGGTGAGGCTGCGTCCGCCGTTGAGGGGCGTCACGCGGAGAACGCGCAAACCGCGGGAAGCCGCGGAAGCGGACAGTACGCTGCGGTAGACGAGGGCTGCGCGGAGGGGGATGGCGGAACGCTCGTGATTGCGAACACTCTGCGCCGGAACTACCAGCTCGGTAGTGGGTCAGGCTCGGCGACACGTCCTCATTGGAACGGATACTTGGCTGACGTGGCAGTTACAGGGGAGGAGCTCGCGGAGCGAATCGGGCTTCCTTCTTGCGCGCGTGCTTTTGCTGCTTACGTCGCCGCTTCGCGGAAGCTTCAGCTTCTTTCCTTGGAGGAGCTGACACGTCAGCTTCAAGAGAACGCGATCTGGCCGTCCAGGTTCGAGTCGCTCAAGCAACGGCTGCATTCGAACGACATCGCAACTGCCGGTCCTGAAGCATCCAAGAAACATTCGCGACTGCCGGCGGAAAGTGGCGGAAATTCCGGAAGCCCGACATCGGTCCTCGAGAGGTCTCATTATAAGCACGTCCGTGTACACCCATACCTTATCCAGTTCTACCGCTTTTGCCGGCAGATGCTGCTCGACCTCCAACTGCTGTCCGCGTTAGACGCTACCGACTGCACAAAGGCGCGAGTTACAAGTTCTCAGGGGTTGCCTTTTAACGGGTTCGCGCTGCCATGGGCTGCGGAGTTCGTGCCTTCAAGCACCAGCCTCGGAGCGATGGTCTCTGCCGATCGAGCATCGGGCGTGAGTAACTCGAATGGTGATTATAACGGGGGAGCCACCATGCGGAGGCAGCAACTCGCTGCCAAATGGTTGGAGCTGTGCGCGGCTGCCGCTGCCGACGCGGGGAAGGATTGCGCGGGCGAGTGGGATGCGGAAAGAAACGACGCCCTCTTTGAGGTGCTGTCCCGCGCGCTGCTGGCGTTACGGATGGACGAAATACTGGCGAATGGGGTAACCGGAACTGTTGACGAGGAGGAAGAAGAAGCTGCGAGCGCTGGCGCCGGAGTCGGGGGAAACCGGGGGGGGAGCAGAAAGCGCGAGGAGGACGAGATGGTGAAGCGGTGGCGGAGGCGCGCGAGTGAGGGGAGGGGAACGCGCGGAGCGCTGGTGCTGGCGGTGAAGCTGAGCGGAACGGATGCGAGCCGCTGGGTGCTGCGAATGGCGGGCGGCGCGGACGTGAACGTGCGGCGCGTGGCGGCTGGCGTCATCGATCGGATTCTATGGGACGTGGAAACGGGCCGAGTGCAAAACGAGCTTGAGAAAGAATGTGCCAGGCAGTGCTCGAACCCGCGACCTGGTGAAATCGGCCATCCTGGAAACCTCGCTACACTTTCTGCGTCGAACGGAAGCTCTTTGTCGTCATCCGATCGGCTGTCCTCGCCTTCATTGTCGTCTAGCGACAGCGACAGCAGCGACGGAGAGGAGGAGAGGAAGGGCGGAGGGGCGGCCGGGAAAGGGCCGGGTTCCATCCCCGTTAGTAGCTCCACGGACGTGCTTATAGCGAAGGTCGCTGGCGCTCTGGTTGCGTCTCTTGGCGCAACAGCAGCGGGCATAGCTGCCCGCGCTACAGCTACTCTACCCGTAGGCCCGCATGCTACAGCCGGCGCTACCGGCGGAAGCAAAGCGTCCGCGGGCGGATATGTTTCAGGCGGAGAAATCTCCCCCCAAATCAGGAGCCTATCGCTGCCGGCTCAAGTGGACCCGGAACAACTACTTTCCCAAGCATCGTCCACGTTATCGCCGCGGCTATCCACGTCAGCATTGTCTAGTGGCTCTTCCACAGGTGGGGGAGTGGGGAGCAGAGCGGGGGAGAGTGCGGGGGGGAGCGCGGACAGTTGCGCGGGGAAGGACGGGAAGAGGAGTGCGAGCAGCAGCAGCAGCGCGAGCAGCACTGAGAGCACTGCCGCGAGCAAGCCCAAGGATGGGGGGAGTGCCCCTGGCGCGGCAGGCGCGGCACGCGGGGGGGGCGCAGGGGGAGATGCGGTGGGGAGAGGGTTCGGGGTGGGGAGCACCGTGCTGGGGCTGACGTCACCGCGTGTGGCGCAAAACACAGCGCAGAGCGCTCAACAACAGCAGCAGCAGCAGCAGCAGCAGCAGAGGGGAGTGGGTGAACCGAGCAGAACCGCGCTCTCTTCTCGGCCTTTCAGCTCAGTTCCGTGTTCCCCCGCCCACCGTGCCGGGGGAGCTTCTGGGGAAGGGTCCGGGAAAGCACGGTCAGGCAGAGGGGTTTTGGACGCCGAAGCAGCAGCGGCTCGGTTGCAAGCCATAGCTGCTGCGGCTGCCAAAGCTGACTCTGGTTCGGACAGAGGAAGGTCCGAGGCGCCTGAGAGCCCGCGATTTGGCGCGAGCCGTTTCCCTGCTGGTCCAGGTTCGGTTGTTTCTGTTCATTCGTCGTACAGTGCATTTACTGTACCTAATTCCGCTATGTCATTTAATGGCGGTTTGGACCGAACTTTCGGTAGCAGCAGTGGGTTACTGAAAGTGGAGAGGCGAGGATCGAGCGCTAGTGTTACAGGAGATGCTGGTTACCACAACTACAGCAACAGCTACACCACAGGAGGGGGAGGAACATCCGCAGCTGCTGCGGCTGCGGTTGCCGCATCAAGGCTCATGTCGAGTTCGGTCCCTTGTTCCCCTCTCCATCCCTCCAACTCCCCCGTTCACTACGCGACAACTCCCATGCACTACAGTACCAGTTCGCATCATTCAATGCACGGTACAGTGCACTCTACAGTACATCACGGTACAGTGCAATCGAATTCGGTGCAATTTCCGTCTTCCCCCAATAGATGCACATCCAGCCCCCGATATGTGATTAATCCCTCCACCCCTCGTTATAGTGCCACTGGCCTGTATAGCTCCAGCCCCAGGCATCCAGGATCCTCCTCTGCTTCTCTCTACTGCCCCAGTCCCTCCCCTCGCTATAGTCACAGCCCAGTGCACCATGCATCTTCTCACACTGCCCCCAGCCCCATTCACTACAGCGGTGGTGGCTATCAATCCCCAAGTCCCTCTCATTACAGTACCGCTCCATATAGTCACAGTCCACAGTATCACCCCTCCTCCTCCACACCTCTCCACCCTTCTGCATCCCCCAACCACCCTCACCACCTCCCTTCCCCTGCCTCCTTCTCCTACCCGTCTCCAGCTCCCCAAACCTCCCTTGCTGTTCCCGAGCCTGCTGGGCTAGGTTTGGTAACAGCTGCGGCTGGGGGCAGGGCAGGCCGGGAGGCTGGTTCGGTGGCAGGTATGTCAGGAGGAGAGAGAAGGAGAGGGAGTGTGGGAGGGAAGGGGGTAGAGAGGGGATTGAAGACGGGGGGAGTGAAGAGCACTATGAGACAAAAGGCGTTTTTTGGTGCTGGGGTGGTGTGGAGTGTGGAGGAGGGAGCAGGGGAGGAGGCAGAGGGAGAGGGAGAGGGAGAGGAGTGTGATACGGACGAGGGTGACTATGACGAAGGGTCGAGCTCAGAAGAGGACAAGGATGACGACACGCTCGGATTCTCAAGGAAATATTATGCGCCTTCTAACAACGCTGGACATGCCACTCTCTCTGCCTGCCCCTCACCTGCCCCCTCTGCACCCTCTGCTCTCTCCACTTCCGCTCCTGCTCCCTCTCCGTACACTCCTGGCAATCCCAATGCCACCCCGCTAACCCGGACACCCTTCGCCTCCTCCCCTGCCCACTCTGCCATCTCCCGCCCCTCCCCTTCACGATCCAACTTTTCCGCTTTGCCTGCCCATGCCTCCTCTAACTCACCTGCCCGAGCCGCATTTTCGTCGTCGCCTGCCCGTGCCTCAAACAATCCACGCACCCATGCCTCCATACCGGCTCCGCTCTTAACCCAAGCTTCCCCGCTCCGTCGCCCTGTGACTCCTTCCTCCTCCTCTTCCTCCTCCTCTCCACTCATTGCCACTTCTAGTGCTCCAAGCGCTTCCTCTGCCTCCGCCTCCCCTGCTGCTTCAGTAACCGGCGCCCGCAAGAGCTCACTGAAAGGGCCACACAGGAGCGAGAGTAAAGGGAGCGTGTTGTGCAGGAGTGGGAGTGGGAGCAGCAGCAGGGGGGAAGGGGAAGGGGGTATGATGGCTACTAGGAGCAACAGTGGGGAAGGCGGGGCAATGCTGCGAGCTACCAGCAGCACCAGAAGCAGCAGCACCGGCAGCAGCAGCAGCACGGGCAGCAGTGATGGGGGTGATGCTGCTGGGAGTGGGGCGAAGGGAGGGAGGCGGCGAGTGACTTTTGCTAAGTGTGGAGAGATAGAGGAGGAGGGGGAAGAGGTGGTGGAGGTGGGGGAAGAGGCGATAAACGAGATTTCAGCTCCTGCCTCTGCCCCTCCTGCTCCTCCTGCTGCTGCTTCTCCTCCTGCTGCTCCTACTGCTGTTGGTCCTACTATTACCGCCCCCCCTGCTGTTCATGCTGCTGCTTCTCCTGTTGCTGCTGCTGTTGCTGCTGCTGCTGGTGCTGCTCCGGATGACCAGTCAGAGTCTTCAGGTATGCTCTCCTTATAGCCCAGCCAAATTTCTGATATGCATTTCTTGCTGTGCTGGCTTGGATAGGAGTCAACCATCTCTTATAATGTTTTTCTCCTCCTTTTCCCCATCCTTATCTCCAGGTGCATCAGCGTCCCCTGCGCAAGCCACTGAAGGCCCAGCCTTACCCATCCCTGTGTCAGGATCCTTCACGTTATTTCTCAACGCACACAGCAACCGTCCTGCCACACCATCTGATTGCGGTCGCCGGAGCCTTGACGTGAAGACTCCTTTGGCTTTAAAGACTTCTGATAGCCAAGCCGTGGTGAAATCTCCCGTTGGAGCAGCTGAGGTTGTGGGCTCGGAAGGGAAAACGAGTGCTGGAGAGAAGAAAAAAGGGTTTTGGAGGTGGAGGCCGTGGCGGGCTTCTAAGTGATGTGATGGCTACGATGTTCCTTGTTAGTGTGTGGTAAATGGGTGGCATATGGGTGTAGCTTATATTTTGTTCATTCTTCATGAACAATGTTATAGCTTTTCGTTTTCTCCATATAAGGCGAAACCATTGTCAATCTTCTGGCGTGTGACTTTTGGACCGATGTCAAAGCATTGGGTCCAGGGCTGACGTTTCAAAAAAACCCACTCTGATTTTAGCCCCAAAATTTTTTCCCAAGTCTGAGTAGTCAGGTTTCAGATTTCATGGTAGTCTGATTTCTCAGGATCCAGTGACTCTCAAGTCTGATTTCTTCAGGGTTCGCAAGTATGAATCAGAGTCGTGATTTTACCATTTACTCGCCATTATTTTATAACATTCGGGCAGTTCACCTACACCTAGTCTAATTTCCTAGCCTAGCTAGAACTCTGGCCAGCAGGGTCCTCGATTGCCCCCAGCCACTTTCTAAGCGATCAGACGGGCCCTACGGAACCCTCTGATCATCAGACGGCTTCTCCAAAGATTTCTCTGATTTGTCAGACGAACATGCCATAAATTTCTAAATATACAGAATGTTTAGTAGCATATTGTTAAGAACTTAGGATGCTAGGTCCCTAAAGTTAGGACACTAGCTTAGCTAGGATAGGAGCAAGGTCGCCATGGAACGGCGCTAGGAAAAACGGATCTAGGAGTAGGAGGAAAGTCGAGAAGAAAGAGGGTTGGATTAGGAAGAGAAGGGAGTACAAGGAGGGGTTTGTACCCCCTACAGAAAGGTTCAGTAGCAACCTACCAAGCCTATATAAAATTATAACTTATATAATTTTAACACACCCCCTAGGCTTGGTAGTGTCAAGCCCACTCACACCCCCACACCCGCACCCAACCCACCCCCTAACCCCGCACACCCTCAGGCTCGTGCTTAGCCGGGTATCTGACCCTCAGGCAAAGCGTTGACACACCCCCGTACACGAGGCAGCCGACGGCGTCTAGGCGGGTCAGCGACAAGCAGCCGCGGAGCTCTGGCTCAAGGCGGCTGGGTCGCCGACGACAGGCGGCGACTGCCGTGGCTGAGGGCTCTCGGCGATGTGGCAACGTCCGGGCAGAAGACAGCAGCTGCGACAGGAGGAAGGGAAGACGCAGGGGGAAGGGAGAATGGGGGGGGGGGGGGGGCGGGGGGGGGCGGGGCGAGTCTTCAGCGTCGCGCCATAAATGGCGCGGCGCTTACAGGCGGGACGACGGCGTCCTGGCAGGGGGCGACGGGGCCGGGCAGAGGGCGACGGGGCCAGGCAGGGCGCGACGAGGCCCAGGAGGGGCGCAGCCGCGGCGTCGCGCTGACGTCGTCCCGGTCGCGTGTCGAGACGGCCGCGGCAGGACGGCGCAGCCGGCGAACAGACGACGACGCCACAGCGTGACGCCGCCGCGGCCGCCATGGCAGCGTCGATGCCGCAGCGGGGCGTCGACGCTGCGACTGCAGAACGACGGCCCGACTCCGCGGCAGCGCGTCGGGCCGGTCGCGGCACGACACGCCCAGTGGCAGCGCGACGTCGCCACTGCAGCAAAACGCGGCCGCCATGGCCGCTGGAGTGAATGAGGGTGAGGAGTAAATGGCGGAAGCGAGAGGAGGCAGTCCAGCAGGAAGGATCTCCTGCTCTGATACCATGTTAAGAACTTAGGATGCTAGGTCCCTAAAGTTAGGACACTAGCTTAGCTAGGATAGGAGCAAGGTCGCCATGGAACGGCGCTAGGAAAAACGGATCTAGGAGTAGGAGGAAAGTCGAGAAGAAAGAGGGTTGGATTAGGAAGAGAAGGGAGTACAAGGAGGGGTTTGTACCCCCTACAGAAAGGTTCAGTAGCAACCTACCAAGCCTATATAAAATTATAACTTATATAATTTTAACACATATTTCTTCGCTTACTGATGCACACCATGTTGCACCTCCTAGCTTAACTAACTAGTCAGACAAGTCCTCTACAACCATGGTCATGCGCACATCCACATCTTCATCATCAGCACTAGTCTTCTTCCTCTTCTTCTTTTCGTGCTTTCTCTTCTTGCGGGGGGGGTTGGGCATGACGACATGCTTCGCCTGGCGTCGCGGAACTGGTGCTCGGAACTTCTCCATCACTTCTTCCCACTTCATAGGGTACTCCAGCAGAGAGACACACATGAGATCTGCAAGGCGGGTGTCGCAGAGGTTAACCCGCAGCCAGGACTTGATCGTGTTCTGGCGGCTGAAGCCACGCTCACACTCCACGGTGCTGAGCGGCAAGACAGCAACAGCTACCCACAGGCGCACGAGGTTGGGGTACGCCGTGCGCCAGTCCTCCGACCTAAGAATGTTCTTGAGGCAGTTGTGGAATGAGTGGTCTTTGTAGTGCTTGTTCATCATCCTAGTGAACCGCGGAAGCTCTCTTTCAGCCTTCAGCCAGTCGACTCCTGTGGGGCGAGATTGGTAGGGAAGCATTATAACATAACTTAGATCCTCCTACTGCGACATTCAGATTCAATATATGCCGCAATACTGTTACATTCACAATCAATGTACATAAACCAAAAAGAGACACACCGGGCATGGCGCACTTCTCGGCGTTGTAGAGGACTTTAAGCGAACCGAACCACTCTGCGCACAGCCGCTCGCGTTTTGCGGGTGCGTCGGGGTATGCGTCGGGGAGGAACAGCTTCGACCCACGGAGATTGTTGAGACTCGCCATACGCGTCTCCAGATTCCGAACGACCGCCTGCACAAAGAGGGAGGCAAGGGAGATACAAGACTCCATATCTCCTTTGCTCCTCTGGTCGCTCAAGTCCTTCTCATGAAGCTTGAAGGTGTGGGTCTTGGGGTTGCCAGAGCCGTTGATGCCCTCCACCATGAACCTCCGCTTGTTGGAAGGTCCATGCTCCTCCAAGAACTTAGACAGCAGGTCGGAGCCTTCGCCGAAGTTGACGCCATGCTCGATGTAGCGTGAGCGGAGCACATTGCAGGTGTTCTCAATCAGCTGGGCGACTCTGGTGATGTCCACCTGCGATGTAGCCACTACAATGAAATTAGCGTTGTTATGCGTTCAGCCAGGAGGAGGAAACTATTTATATTGATGAACAAGCATGCACGCTTACAACTCGACGCTGAAACTTTCTGTTGAGGGCATTAAGCTCTGTAAGGACGTCAGCTAGGAAAAAGAGAAGGAAGTGGAACTTGAAGCTGATGACGACATGGTACATGTCATCATCAAATTCATACAGCAGCAAGACTGCAGCGGGGAGAACTTCAACGAGCCGCGAGATGGCTTCCCCGCGGGAGAGCCATCGGATATCCTTTATACCCTGCATTTCCAGGGTCGTATCGTTGATGAACTTCTGGAGCTCGCTGAAACGCTTGTGTACGACGATGCTCCGCCCAAGGATGTCAGCCAGACTCCTGACCACCTTGTCCACGATGTCAAGGTCAACGTACTCGGTGGCTGCATCCTTCGCAGCCAACGCCTCTCTGCAAGCTACAAACGAAAACATTAGTTCTTCAATGTTTGGTTACATGCACTTGGCTCATATTTACACGAACATCGCAACACCAAGTACAAGTTCATTACACGGCACCAACCAAAACTGACCTGTGCGCGATGCAGTGGCATGCGACGAGGTGCGGAACTTTGGCTCGGAGCTGCGTCACGAGGCCCCGGTTCACGCCGGTCATGACGCTGGCGCCGTCAGTGCTGATGCCGCTGATCTTGTTCTGATCCAGCCCGGTAGATTCCAAGTGTGTCAGTAGTGTTGATAGAAGAGAGCTGGCATCACACTTCTCAACTGTGAGGTGAGCGTAGAACTCAGTCACGACCTTGGCGTTCTTCAAGAATGTCAGATAGACAATCATGTGTTTCCCACGCCGCCTGTCGGTGCTCTCATCCAGCTGAATGCCCACGAATGGAGATGCGTCAATGTGTTTCTTCTGCTGGGCGCGGAGGTAGACGACTAGTGCTTCAGTGATCTGCTTGAAGCCGTACCTGCAGAAGCAAAATAACAGAGAGAGACTTAGTCAGAACGGTAGTCCTTGAGTATCTACTGCGAAGAAACGACAGACAGACTTACTCAGAATGGTACGTGCCGAAGGCTTTCTCAGGGATGTGTGGAGTCCGTAAGTCGACGAGAAGACGAAGAAGAGAAACAAACATGCCAATGGGGGCGTCAGACTTGCAAATCCACAAAACGATGAGCAACAACTGCCTGAGGCGGTTGTCGAGGGACTCAAGGGACTCCTCGAACTCTGTGATGCTCGGCTGCGACGTGACCTTGCCATCCAGTTGCTGCTGTCTCTCCTCTGCGGCCTCGTGCTTCTTGCTTTGAGAATGCTTCACCATTGTTTGCTTCTGGATATCCACTCCGCCGTTGCCGAGTTTTCCGTACTGCCAGGTGGGAGGTGCGTGAGCCATGCAAAGTCGACATTTCATGCACGGACGTCCGTCGGGGCGCTGATCGATGATGAGCCATGGGAACTTTCGGACCCACTGCTCCTCAGCCTTGCTTTTTAGCTCAGCTAGAAGCGCGTCAGGGTCAGGGATGAGACGGCAGCAAAGACGGGACTTCGGATTCGGGACCGGCCGGTCAGCAGAAGAACCAGCTTCGGGATGTTCTGCCGACGAAAGTGGTTCGTCAGTGGAGGCGCGAGCCTCGATACGGATGTGAGGAACACGGTTGCGTGCAAAGCGTATCGTGCTTTGTGTGAACTGTCGAATGGACCGTGGCTTCGGCAGCTGTTGTACAGCGTCGACGGACAGCAGAGGGGACCGCCTAGCTGATACAGCGGTAGGAGAGCGAGGAGACGTTGGGGGAGTGGATGCGAGTAACGGGTCGCTGTTAACTTCAGGGAGTATCTCGCTAAATGGCGGCGCTACTGCGGGTGATGGGACTGCAGGCACGTGATTTGCCTCTGGATTTGGGCAGGTCTGGTGAGCTAGACGCAGGAAATCAAGCCCACTTACGGGGGGCATACCAGGCGCGGGAGGAACTACAGATGCGGCGCCGCCATCTCTAACGGCGCCAGCATCCATGTCGAAGTGGTGTGAGACGGGCTATGGAGCAGGTAGAAAACGGACAAGTAATCACCGTGTGTCGTCAACATAGTGACGGGAAGGAGTGAGCGTC